CGCTACTCTCCAAAAATCAACCATGTAATAATGACTGCATAAGCTGTGTGGTGGAAATCCTCTATTCATAGCCACTGCAACAGCATACGCAAATGGAAAACTCTTCAACTAAAATTGTCTACACGTGCAGGTATTGTCATTCAAGTCTACAATGTATCCAACATTACGCCTGCATCTCATGGAGAAGTGAAATTGATCTAGTGGTTCCACAAATAGAGTTTGTGCCACTTCCAGAGTTTTGAATAGTCGATCTTCCTACGTCGGAGCTAGCACACTCGTGCAATTCTGGGATTCCTCACGTCGGTCATAAAACCACTGTTGCAACTTGCTACGAATATGTTCAATCATTGCGAGAATTGGTAACTCTCAATCCTTCTTGAATAATGCATTGAGTGACTCCGCATTATTCGACGTCATCATATTGTATCGACATCTTGAAAAATATGACCGTGCCCAATGTTCGACCCCCATATCTGATAGATATTTCCATGCACTTTCTGATTTATGTTCTATTTCTCCGATGAACTTCGTAAACTCTTCAAAGCTGTAGGCTTCTACAGCTCTCCTAAACAATGCAACGATGCCACTGCTTGGTACCTAGTCATCAGGTTGCCCTGAATGTGGTACATGTAATAACCATGATGTGCCTCTGAAAAAATTTCGGTTATACTATTTATTATTGACTGCCCCCGGTCAATCACAAATGCAAGGTTCTCGATGTCTCCAGTTATTTCTCTCAGCTTCGTGAAGAACTAACGCATTGCTAGATCAGTCTCTCCATCGACAATGCCAAATGCAAGAGGGCAATTTTGGATGTTGGCATCTTGACATGTAGCAATAATCAACTTCCCATCAACTAGAATTAGAGGTCGCATCGCATTTCGAAAACCTCTAATGCATTGTCCAAGAGCCATAAAAAAAATACTTAAAGCGATTCTGCCCATCAGTTTCAATAAAAAACGCCCAGTCAAAATTAGTTCTAACCATGTTGTGGCAATACCTGACCAATTTAGCATAACTCTCCTCTGTCGTACCCATTAAATCTTCCAATGCACATTCTTTAGCCTTTCAGGCTTTTAGTAACTCATAACCACCCCATACTCCCGACGGATGTCATTGATAATATCTGTAGGTCTGTAAATCGTCCGTGGGTCCTGAAACTTGTGCGTTATCTGTCGACCAGTAAACCATGATCGAGTTTACCTGTGATCATTTTGATGAATACCCACTTAACAAGTATGTTCTCGTGCATACTTGCGAACTACAAAGAACTCATTTGTGTCCATCCTTTTTCCTCTCAAATGCCAACTGCAATTGTTGTCCACACAAATAATTGTGTATATAGACTTGTTTGATTTTTTTACCTTAAACTCAAAATTATGTTTCATTGCAATTCGGTGCACAACTTTTTGCAAATCTCTTTTCGTGTCAAACAATTGATCGACATGTAAATCTTCATTATCAGGAACTACATATGAACAATTAGAAGACCGTGTAATTAGCCCAGCATGTGAACTCCTACCAGACTCATGTCTCTGTTTGAATAAAACAATCAAATCCCGATTTGTAAATGACCTTTCGTACTCGTTGTCTTCAACTTCCTCGTAAATCCTTTGTGTAACAGTGACGTCATGGCGAGTAGCGACTGTCCCGGGAATAACCACAGCATCCTCAGGAGCAATCTCAATAATATCCCAAAAATCATTCTCGTTACGATCTTCTCCATCGAAAACTTCGTGTTCACCCTTGGGGACATTTTTCTTCAACAAAGTTACGCAAATAGGAGTCGTCTTTCAACCTTGGTTCAATTGAATTAGATGCTTTATTTGCACTTCAGAAGTAACTTTCAAAGGTGGAATTGAAATTGTTGGATACTTTTGAAATAAAAATTCCAATTCCGTATCGTATCGAGAGGAATTGACATTAAGCATGTTTTGTATTTCATTGTACATTTTCGTAAACGATTTATTTTTTGTTATCAAAATAGTAGCAACCGCTTCTCATTCACTCGTCCATTTCCATTCCCATTAACCATTTTCTTTCCTTTGAAATTTGCCGAAGTAACAGATTATGACACATGCTTTTGCCATATCTGCATTATGAATTAAAAATTATCAGCGACATCATAGTAATCATCAATTAATTATATTAATTGTTTCCATAATTAATTATTTTAATTGTCTTAAAATGTATATTATTTATTTTATATTTAATTACTCTATTTCGATTATTTATTTGAAACGTATATTTAATTACTAAACATATATTTAAGTAAAAAAAAAAATTAAAATTCCATTTAATTTATCTTTAAATATTTCGTTAATTATCTTAATATATATATTATTTATTTTAAATTTAATTACATTTTTAACATAAAAATTAAAATAAATTCAGAAAAAAAAAGTTTGACCCATTGCTAGTTCGGAGCCAAATGGTCTGGGTCCGGACCATATGGTCCGTAATCGAAACGTATATGTAATTACTAAACATTTATTTAAGTAAAAAAGAAAAAGAATTAAAATTCCATTTAATTTATCTTTAAATATTTCGTTAATTATCTTAATATATATATTATTTATTTCAAATTTAATTACATTTTTAACATAAAAATTCAAATAAATTCAGAAAATAAAAAAAATAAAAAATTTGACCCATTGCCAGTCCGAGCCAAATGGTCTAGGTCCGGATCATATGGTCAGTAACGAACCAAGATGGTCCGTTATGGTCCATAAAGGACCATTATGGTCCGTTACAGACCATAATGGCGTCTTCGTCCGTTGCGGGCTGTTTGGAGTTCCGACGTTAAATCGGTGCTGGCCTGAACTTCGATTCTAATATTATTTTCTCTATTATTTAAAAAAATATACGACTTCAAGAAAAACAAAATTAAATACTAGAAAAAGATACTTACCTAATTAAAGTACTGAAATTTAACGAAATATTTTTGTTGAGGTTGATAACTGATAAGTTTATGAAATTTTGAGGTTGAAGTGGATGACAAATGAAAGAGTTTTTATCGTGTTAAAGTAAATTGATGAAAAGAGTGACTTCGTTTTCAAATCTCAATTGAGAGGTGTTTGGATTTTAATCTCAAAAAAAGAATTTTTGTCTTTTTAACATATTTCTATTTTTGTAATTGTATAACTCATTTAAGGGTATTTTTGTCTTTTAATCAAGAATAGGCTTTTGTGGTGAACGTCAAATTTTTTTGGTTAAAGTGGAAAATTGGTTGGTTGACATGGCCAAACTTAGAAGTACCCCGATTTGAACATATGGATAACACTGAAAAGCCACTTTCCCATTTCTATACCACTTATAAAACCAGCTATATGAACAGTTGAACCGGTTTAGGTGTGAAAAGGAAGTCTAACAAATGAACAATTAAAGGCTCAATCCCCCTTTTAACAAACATGCTTTATAAACATTTTGAGATACTATATAACCACTTTCTACAAGCACTTTCAACACTATTTGCACTCTATGTACAAAAAGAATCTATTATCAAGAACATAATTTATCTCAATCAATACCCAGAAATCGATGCTCTACACAAACATATCAAGAAGGAAACTCGCAACTCTCTTTAAATGTCTATGTTAATATAAATTTGTTTCTCGAGTCAACGAGATCATAACAAGAACTTTGGAAACTCAAGATTTCAAGCTATTGAATTTACGTGCTTTCCTTATGAGTCTTTAAGATTCAATTCAAATCAACTTTAGAAAGTTGTATAAATACCAAAAATTGGGGGATGTTCAAACATAAACTCCAATGAAAAGTCTTTGGTAAACTAAAAACAAATAAGATTCGAGATGTTGTCTATGTTAATGCAGTGGTACTTGAAATATTAAAAGATTATAAAAAGAAGGCAAAATTCCCAATCAAGCCAGTGTCTTGAAACCAAACTTAATTAAATAATAGTTTGTTCTTAAGGGCAGCTCATTTAGACTGTAGGTCAAGATTATTTATATATATATAATGAAAAGGGCAAGTACAATTACCTAGAAATGCACATGGTTAGTATTATTGCATACAACTTCAATAAAATCATAAATAAACAAAATTTTATGTCTAATGATGTGGACATTATAATATGAAAGAAAAAAATTCAGTTAAAATTCTAATTATATAATCGAGTTCAATATTCCATTCCTGCATGTCTGATAAATATCTCACACAAATCTTTTATTAATCATCTAGAGTCGAGTCTAGATATTAATACGAAACATATTATTTTGTTTTTATTATAGAAATTGACTTGAAAAAAAATATGATTTGGCTTATGGGATTGTGTTAATTTAACCAAGCCATTCGGATTTCTTAAGACATGATCACTTTGTCATTTTCTCACTTATTAAATGATTAAATGTAATGACTTATTAATTCAATAAAGAAAGGTCAAATAATTATGATCGTTACTTGTTAAACCTAGTTAACTTCTTCTTCTTCTTTTTCTTTTTCTTATTATTATTATTTCTTTTTTGTTAAAAGGGTAAAATTTTCACTTGTACATTCCTTGATATGGGCCATCTAACAAACTCTGATACTTTTCCATGGATTATATCAATTAGTTATGATAGATTTTTGACTGGGTTGAAAAGAATGTTTAATAGTCCATCCTGTTTGTTGATGTTGATATTTGCACTTTTTAATGATGTTTAAGAGAGAAGTTTTGAAAAAATCTAATCCCGTTGATTAATGTCATGAAATAAATTATAATAATCATAAAATAGACAAGATCAGAAATGAGAATATGAGTCAGTGATCGAAGTTGGTATTGATAAGGTGTGAATCGAGATAATGATGAAGGCACCCAAACACTTAAACTGAGGAAAGTTTTGAGTTTAGTTGAGAGAAGTTGGATTGCAGGTGAGTGCGACTCTTTGTGACTCATCCCGTCTCTATTTGATTTTAGCTCAACTCATAATTTTTATTTTTTATTTTCTGAGAAAAGAATAAAGTACATTCTTTGGTTAATTTTGGCCCAATCATAATACCCTTGAGACCAAAGTAGAGAACATCAAAGGGAAGCCGGCTCTTTTCATGACGTGGAGTCCACTATTTATCGTTCCACTGAACAGAACGAAGGGTGTGCTGAGGTGAAAAATTAGCAGTTGCAAAGAGCCCTTTTTCTTCTTCTTTTTTCCACATGGCTTTTTGATTCACAAATCGAACTGCTGAAGGGCTAGAATTCTGAACTAGTTAATGGATCGTCTTACACGGGATTCTTAGCACCTGGGTCAGCATTGATATATGAAGTACTTCATCTGAGTATAATGCATCTGTAATTATGCTAGAAATAGAGAGAGTAACTGATAACCAAACCACTATTTTTTGAGCCATATGTTCAGTTATTCACATTCATCCTTCTTCTTGAGTGGGTTTAGTCAAAATTTGTTATTTGAACTGTAAATATTGTTGATTTCACTTGGTTGTTGATAATGGCTAGGCGTCACGGATGGCAACTCCCTGCTCACTCCTTTCAGGTTTGATGTTTTCACCTTCTTCTCATTCTAATCGGTTGAAGTTTTGAAATTTTATTTTGGCTATTTGACTTCGAAATGTGGATTCTTTTTTCTTTTCTTTTTTTGAGTCTAGCTTACAATGTAGTAATATTTCTTTCTTGGTTAGTTTAAAAATGGAAATTAGAAAAATAAGTAATAATTATTGGAAGGGAAAATGTTCTTACATTGCATTTTGAATACTTGGACGAGCTAGTGTTGCAACTGGTACATATTATTATTGCTCAAAGTATGAAATTATTTGAGATCCAGCAAGCTTAGGTTGAAATCAAGTTAACTTGATCTTGATGAATCTTTCGCTTTGTTTTCACAATTGACAAACTAATGGATTATGTGCAAAGGTGAAATGCTTGGCCTCTATGTCCTCTACTATTCCTATTTTACAGTTTTGAGAAATGTTCCTGCTGATATTTGTGTTGTATGGAATAAGTTTTTTGCTTCAAGAGGGTTTTGCTCCGGATCACCTAAATGTAAAAGCTAATTGGTTTTGACATTGTAATTGCTTAATTATATGTTTGCTCACTGCGAATTCCGTTTGAGACAGAATTCTTATAAAATCTTATAGTCGAATCTGTTCCCGCTTTTATGCTTTTAAAGGGAGTAATACTATCAATTTCATCACTTCGAAATTCTTGAGGCCCAACTATATAAATTCAAAGCATGAATTCCAGTTCATTGTTTATTCTATGTCAAATTGTTAGAATATTTTAATAATCTTCTTTCTTCTATTAGTCATTTAGATTTGAGCCTGTCATGCCCATTCTTACCATTTATTTCTGTTTGTTTCTTTTGCAATGCAGGTTGTGGCTATAACAGTTTTTTTCTTGTTATCTGTTGCTTTCTATGCTTTTTTTGCTCCTTTTCTTGGGAAAGATATCTACGAGTACTTAGCGACCGGCATTTACTCCTTCCTGGTAAGTGCAATCTGTGCTCAATCTTTTTGTTATTTTTGCAGAATCCTGCCATGATCCTCTTTGCAGAAGCTTCACTGCTTCTAATTTCGTGCAATTAATATTTCCAGGCACTGTCTGTATTTATACTTTACGCGAGGTGCACAGCTATTAATCCTGCTGATCCTGGAATTCTAATTGAAGTCGACAAGTCTTCAACTTATCGGTCACATAATGAAACAAATGTGCCTGGTAATCAATTCAACCATGTTATACATGAAAATATCCTTAAAATGATTAAAATACGACTTGATTGGAACATTGAGAATATCTGCTGTATTTTCAATATGAGTTATAACATTCTACAAGTGCACCACTGTTGAACCTTTCTGGACTAGATACTAGAACAAATGCCCTAAGAATTATGATGTGACTGCATTTGAAGTTTTTTTTTTTTTTTTTTTTTTCTGAAGCCTATTGGACCATTTGGATTTGAAATTTCCATATTACAGCATTTTTTCCAAGTTTTATTGATAGCTTTATGGTGTTTATAAGATATATCTACCACTGAGGAGCCAAGCAAGATGGGATTAAAAAATGGAGGAAGATCTTACAGGCATGATGCAGGGTGTTGTTCAAAAATTGGAGGCTTTCTCTGTTGTTGTCTTGTGAAGGAGGATTGCCGTAAAGATGAAGATCATCTACCAGAGCAAAATGGTGAGGAAGATGCTTTATTCTGCACATTGTGCAATGCTGAGGTACACAGTTTATAAATGTTTATTTGTAATTATGTGGAATGCATAATACTAATCAGGAATTAGGAAATGGCTATACATCTCATCTCTTATCCACTCAAAGCTATTTTTTTTATATGTAATCGAAAATCAGGTTACCATATTTGTTTACGATACTAATGGCTGAACCATTAACTTTAATTTGTTGCAGAAAAATAAATAAACCGATTAATGTAATTTGCTTCACCAAGGATGCTAGTTTGGAAACCCACTGTCAATCTCGTCTTTTATTTCATTAAAAGATCAAATTTCAAACCTGAGAAAATAAAACAAGCTGCTCTTTGGTTTTCAAAATATGAAAACTGTATTTTCATTTCTTATTTTTGTTGTCATGATTCTCTCTTTATGAAATTTTAATGGAAAAAATGTATATGTTAGTGAGAAAGTTATAGAAGTGAGAAAATAATTAGTAGATGTGATTTAACTGAAAAGCGGATTTGCTACTCTAAAACATCTGGACTTTATCCTTGAAGAATAAAAAATAGAGAAAAGAGGGGGGGGGGGGGGGGGGGGAGGG